GACTGGATCAAAGTACATATGCCTTTGTAGTTTTCATAGGTATTGTCAAATTGCCCCCTATAGGAGTTGTGTCGTTTTGCACTTCCATCCTCAGTATATGAGAATGCATTCCTCAATCAAGTTATACTATCTAACTTTTGGATTTTTGCCAATCTACTACCCAAGGGGGAAAAATGGACTAGTTTCAATTTGTATATTTCTTAATATGAGTAAGTTTTAACATCTTTTTACCTTTAATAATACATTTATATTTCAATTTCTCATCAGCACAACTCCTATCAAAAAAAACCTTTTTATGGTTCCTTTTTATCTGAACACTGGGAAACAGTTTAGTTGTGTGGTTGACTCATTTTGTGTATAGAGAAACAGGCCCAAACACAGTAGTTGGCCTCACTGCCACCTTTAGAAAAAGTCTACTCCAAAGGGCTTTTGACACTATTATAATTATTGGGGCATGGGCCAGTCTATTCCTGGTTCTCTGGCAGGGTGAGTTCTTACTTTCACTAGTTTATAGGTCCTCTACATTTTGGCAAGAAACTGTTTTCATATATCTTTTAATTAGGGTACATACCCAAAGTCAGTGCTAACCTATAAAGTGTTGACAAGAAATTTTCTGAGTGAGGAAGGGAAGCACAGAGCAGAATCAGGGTATAAATCAAGAGAAGTAAGTAAGCCTAAACTCAGACAGACTGGGGGTTGAGACCTACATTGTTGGCTAGTAGAAGAGTAAGTACATTAAAACATTACCTTTAGACTGCTTTCTTTATGTATCTTATCACCTGAACCCTAACATTTAAATTCCATAGTAAACAGTCTCACTCTTGTTTTCATAATGCTTCTGCTCACATCTTGACATCTTATTCAGACCCTGTCACCTTTCTGACTTCATCATATTTTGACACTTTTCCTCTCATGCTATAGGATAAGAACTAGAAGTTCAAACCCCCCAGCCACTCCTTGGAAGCCCTATACAGGGTCACTATGCTCAGAGCCAACTCGAATCACTTAACAATAACAACAACAACTCCACCCCAGCAATGCTAACCTTTTATTTTCAGCCAGCATTATTTACTTATTTTGCCTTCCCCTTCAGCCACTAGTAGATCCCCAATGAGATGGATTGGCATGGTGGTAGCAGCAACAGGCTCACGCTTAACAATGATTGTGTGGATAGTGCAGTGTTTCGTTCTGTTGTGTATAAGGTTGCTATGAGTAGGAACTGAATCTACAGCACCTAACAATAACAATACCCTCTAGTTAGCAATTTGCCCTCCATTCCATTCCCACCCCTGGTAACCATCAAAGAATGTTTCTTTTAGTGTGACTACCCTATCTAAAAGGAGCTCTGGTAGCATAGTGGCTATGAATCGGGCTGTGAACTGCAAGGTCAGCAGTTCGAAACTACCAGCTGCTCCGCAGGAGAAAGACAAGGCTTTCTGCTCCCGTAAGATTTACAGCCTCAGAAACCCTGTACAGGGTCACTATGAGTCGGAACCGACTCCACGGCACATAACAACAACAACATAGACACAGTCTCTGCTTTTGTGCAGTTATATTCTATTGGAGGGAGACACAGCATGGAACAAGAACAGGCACAGAGAACATCTTCAATACATATTTATTGAATCTTAACCATTTCTGTGTCAAGATTATTATCTTTGTAATATATATATATATATTTTTTTTTTTTTTTTTTCTTTTTAAGTTGAAAATGGTACTAGTGTTCAGAGAAAATAATTAACTACTTCCAAGCTATGTTACTGAGGGGACACAACAGGCCCCCTTGTAATTGTGAGTCCTAGCAAGTCCTAAAAATTTAGGCTGGCTTTACTGACCAGCAAGTAGGAATTGTACCACAGTGGAAGGCTGCCTTAATTTTTTTCAGGCAGAATAGCGGTGAAATCTGTCTGAGTCAGCATTCTACTTTCAGGCTCCCTTTTACCTAGGTTACAACAAATGGTACACTTCAACCCACCTTCTTTCCACACTCAGAAGTGAGCTTTTTGCCGCTTGCATTTATTTTTTGTCTGAGGCAGCCTTATCAAGTCACGAGCTCAGAAACTTGAAGGCTTGTCTCTCTACCAACAGACTCATGAATAAGCTGGCTTGATTTGAGTATTTAGACTGCTTCAGTGTTGGGGATTATTAAAAGTCTCTTCCTTGTCTAGATACTTTTCTTATAGTCTTTTTTCCCTTGAAAGTTAGTGTGATAACACAGATTGCTCTGCCAGAGTCTTAGAGAAATTATTAAAGCTCCTTTCTCCATCTCACATTATTAAGCGCTGTCATTAGCTCCTGGCTAAATGGACGCCTTTCTCCGCCCCCCCCCCCCACCCTCTTTCCCATCCTCTGCTGACCTAGTATCTTCTCATTATGAGAACTGAACTTTCTGAGGGAGAAAGAGAACTATTTGGTATGTTGGTCCTCCTATTGGACTCTCAACCTTTCCCTTCATCAGTTTCCCCATAGCATCTTACTTATCCTTGACTGCAGCATCTTATTCTTTGTGTTCCAACATGATCACTTTTGTGTATGGATTTGGCTTCCTAACTTGAGTTCTACGTCCCTAGCATAATGTAGTTACTTGGAAAATTCAGTTTATCTGGTAACAGCTGGGGAAAGACTTTTGAGCCCCTTTGGGTTTTGTCTTGAGTTTTTCTTTGCTCCATGGTTTCAGAAAACTTGGGACAGGTACTCACTCATAAAGTTCTTATAAAATTTGGTGCTAACTGACAGCCTAAGACAGGCAGCGTCCCTTAAACAAGTAATAAATAAGGGGAAATCTGATGCAGACCATGCAGACCCAGTCAGGAGTTCAAGTCCCTGTGGGCCCAAGCGTTGCAGACCGTCCAAACCATAGGCTCTGAGGATCAGACTTTAGCCACCTAGCAGACATAGCAAACTGTCCCTCATCTGATTATTCAGTTATGCTTGTTAGTAATCGCATACATGCACCCTGGATATCCACAGATAAATGTAAAAACCTTCCCTAAAAGCTGAGACTGTAAATTCCAAAAAGGCAAAGTTCCCCCCGCCCAAAAAAAGCTAAAAAGGATAGAGAGAAACACTGTTAACTGATGATGTATGGAGGGGATTATAATCAATGTAATGAAACAAGTCATATGAATGGTTGAATGTGTAACTGATGATGTGCCCTGTAAACTTTCACTCAATCCACAATAAAAACCTTAAAAAAAAAAAAAATTGGTGCTAAGTCATGCTTTGCTTCTATCTCAAAGGCCCTGTTCTTTTTTTTCTTTTTTTTCTTTTGTGTGTGTGTGTGTGTGTGTATGTTTATTAGGCCAATTAGTTGTTTCTTCAGACTTCTGGAGCCTTGATTGGTCATCAGCCTGTTCATGTCCTCTACTTATCTTCATCAACTCCAAAAGTGGAGATCATCAAGGAATCATTTTACTCAGAAAATTCAAGCAGTATCTTAATCCATCTCAAGTGTTTGACCTGACAAAGGGTGGACCTGAAGCAGGGTAAGTATGAGGTAGCAGATATCATTGGATATATAGAAGGGCCTCCCTCTCTGCATTCTAGATTAGGGTCAGCTTCTTAGAATCAGTTCTTATATCTGGGCAGGAAAAAATTATTTTCTCAAGTCAGAATACAGACACAAAATGCAAAAGTATTGGGAGTTGGCTGGTTGGAGGACTTTTAGCCTTTTCCAAAGTATCCCTTCAAACTCACCCCTTTTCAGATTAGCTTCACACTTTGTGTTTGGAAAAGATAAAATCCTATCTCCTGAGAAAGAGGCAAATGGATATTGCCTACCTTCTGTATACCTTTTCTGCCACTCACGTTTTCTTTTTCCTTGGGTCAAATAGATATATCATTACTAAAGACCTGCTTATTTGATTGCTCAATCTGGGATCCTGTGAGCCCACTGACCCATAAGCAAGTTGAGTTGGTATGGATTACTAGCAGCTTCCAGAGTGAAGTTGGGTATAGTATAGTGTGGGATGAGGCAAAGTCTGAGTTCTGGGATTGCCTGTTGGAACATCATATGTGGTCTTAGGTGTACAGAGATAGGGGCAAAGGGAAAGAATGCAGGGAGCCTGCAAGATGCCAAAGCAGCAGTTTGAGAATCTTGATACATTGTAGAAAAGAGTTATGAAACCCAGCAACTCATGAAATGACTCTCTTTTCTCCTCTTCCTGCCAGACTGTATATGTTCAAGAACTTTACTCGCTTTCGCATTGTGGTTTGTGGTGGAGATGGCAGTGTGAGCTGGGTCTTATCTCTGATTGATGTCTTTGGATTACATGAAAAGGTGAGTTCCTGGCTAACTCAATTTAGTCGTTGCTAGAGAGACTGAAGGTGTGAGACTGTTCATCACAGAGAGACCTTGGATTTCACTTTCCTAGTCTGTAAATTGCATACTTCCTTTAGTCTTCATAGTCAACTTTCCAATCTAAGTGTACTCACCTAGACCACGTTCTGGTTATCTGTTTGTGGGAAGGATAAATAAAGGAGTTAGCAGAAGAAATGAGCAGTGCTGTTTCCCAGGCCCCAAAGTCAAGTGTTGAAGGAGAGGAAAGCAAGCAAAAAAGAAGTGGTCTCAAATAGCCTTGAGCCCCCAAGTTCCTTCCGACCATGAGGATACTTGACTTTCTTCCCTGAGTATCAATAGTATCAGAAACTTCTCTCTACTTCTCCCTAAGCAACTTCCTGCTATTATGATACCAATAGCATTATCTTCTAGGGCACCACACATCCTTGGCCTATCCCAAATATAAATTTACGGCAACATTTGTCTTCTGTATGCATGGTTACTGACATATGCTAGTGACTTTTCCATATACTGAATAGTTCCCTAAGAATGGTTTCTTATTCAACTTCAAACATCTTCCCATTGCACTTACTGAAACCAAAAGTCTCTTACCACCACTGGCCACAGTGTTTTCCAAAGAATACTATCTGGGTTCTTTTATGGGTGTAACTTTCTAGAAGGACTGCCTAAAAAGGGTGTCTGTTTTTGTTTTTTCTTTGCAGTGTCAACTTGCAGTCATCCCACTTGGAACTGGAAATGATTTGGCCCGTGTCCTGGGCTGGGGTACATACTGGAAAAAAAATAAGTCACCCCTGAGCATCCTCAACAGGGTGGAGCAAGCTAGTGTAAGGATTCTAGACAGGTGAGTAGCCAAAAGACTTGGCCCTTGTGCCATTTTCAGTTATTCCCACTTATACAATCTCACTCAGGAATCGTCTAACCTCTCACTCTGAGCTTCTTTTCCTTCTTTCCTTGTTGTTTCAATGTTTTGAGGTACTTGTCTGTTGTGAAGCAAGAAGCTACCATATAGCCTTGAAACAACACTGAACCGCCTTTGCAAACATAAAATGTTCTAAAGCAGAAGCTTCATATATTTTAAGAGTTCTGTGAGCCTCCTTCTATTATGCTGCCAATTATGATGCAAGCATATCTTTTCTTGGAAAAGAGTTAATAGTTTCATGAGGCTCCCAAAAAAATGCAAAAAAGGGGTTCAGAAACAATTGGCCTAAGTTATCTCTGCTCTAAAGAAGAGAGAGTGGGACTATCTTACCTCCTGAGAAGAAAGACTTTCTATGTGGAAACATTTATGAGTATTCGATTTATAGTTTATAATCAGCATCTACTAGGGAGCTTTTTCAAGATACCAACCACAAAGATTCTTATTCACTGGAACTTGGGTAGGGCCTTAGTATGTGCATTTTACAAAAGCACTCCAGGTGATCTGGATGGCTACCTGTGATTGAGAACCATTGTTCTCTAAGAAGACAGTTATGATTTCTTCTATCACATTGACCTGTAAAAGGCATGAGGCACAGATCCCTCTTGCGGTATACCTTAAGATCAGGTGGCCAGAGACTGCATAGGCAACCCCTACAACCTAATTCTTCATAGTTCACCAATATTTCGGCCTCTCTTTTGCACTGTGAAACACTGATTGCCTCTTGTAATGAAACAGATCTCTAAATACCTGTCCTGGAACTTCATTTCAGATGGAGTGTGCTGATCCGTGAGAATCCTCGACAAATCACACTGCCAAGAGGATATGCTGCAATGGATGTAGTTCAATTTGAGGTAACTATTTCACAGCTGTGACTCAGGCAAACCTCTTTATTACATAATACAATAATTATAAAGGTCCAGAGAGAAGTTTTTATATCATCCATGGACTCCATGAGCATACATTCACTGAGGATTGCAGACATATCATTCAGCAGTGTGGTGCCATATGACAAGCACTCAACCGCAAGGTCAGCAGTTCAAACTCACTAGCCACTCCTCAGAAACCCTATGCAGGGTCGTTATCAGTCGGAACCAACTTGAAGACACTTAATAACAACAACAAAATGTTAGGTAATGGGGCAAAGTAATGAAAATTTCTTAGCCACAACCAAACACCCTGAGGGAATAGGTCTCTGGGCCTGGGGGTTCAGGATCAGAGTCTTATGGGGCACTAAAATCAATTGGCACAAAATCTTCTATAAAGACAAAGTTCTACATCCTACTTTGGTGAGTAGTGACTGGGGTCTGAAAAACTTGTTAGCAGCCATCAAAAATGAAACTATTGGTCTCTCTCCATATAAAGCAAAGAAGAGTGAAGAAAATCAAAGACACAAGGAAATAATTAGCCCAAAGGACTAATGGACAACATTAGCCCCAGCCTCCATAACCCTGGGATCAGAAGTAGATGATGCCTGACCACAACAACTGACTGCTTTGAAAGGGATCACAATAGATGGCCCTGGATATAGTGGAAGAAAAATGTGTAGCAAAACTCAAAATGATTTTAAAAAAACAACCAGCCTTACAGATCTGATAAAGACAGGTGGAATCTCCAACACCCTTCAAGTCTGGAACCGAACTCAACCCCATGGTTCAACTTTCAGCCCATGGATAAACAGGCTTATAGGGTGAACAATAACACCAGGGAGTTACTCACTCAGAATAATCAATCATACTACATCAAAAAGGCAGCATTTGCCCAGGGATAAAGCTTAGACTGCAAGAAGGGATAGGAAAGCAAGACAAAGGGAAATGGTAAACACAAGGAGGAAGTGGGAAGAGTGCTGTTACATTGCCGGGATTGCAATCAATGTCAAGAAACAAAATGTGCATGAATTGCTGAATGGAAAGAACTTGTTCTGTAAACTTTCAGCCAAGTCACAATTTAAAAAGAAAAAGAAGAAAAAAAGAGAGAGAGAGATCGGGGATATAATTCCTTCAACCATTCCCTTATTCATGCACTCAAAAATATTTGTGGAGTAATTACTAAGTGTGGGATACTATTCTAGGAGCTGTTTTTGTATCATAATGGGTAAAGAACAATGGCATAGTCCCTGATGTCATAGAGTTCATATTCTAGTAGGAGATATAGAAAGAAAATAAAAACAGTTTTAATAAAGTATTATAGTGTTAGGATAAGAGATAGTAGATTGGGTTGGAGATACATAACAAGTGTACCTAACCCAGTCTGAGAGGAATCATTTATAAATTTCTCAGAAGAAGTGCTATTTCAGAAGACCTGAAGACTAGAGAGAGTTAAACATGAATATATGAAAGTGAAAGCTTGTTACAGACAGATGGAACAGCACATGTATTTTTTAAGGCAAGGGAGTATGGAGTATTCACAGAACTGAAATACGTCTATAATGGCTGGGGCATTGGGACCTGATGCATGTAGGGAAAGTGACTAAAGATGAGGCTGGAAAGACGTCAAGGGCTAAGCCAGGAAGGACCTACTAAATCATGGTAGGAAATTTGGATTTTTATCGTAAGAATTATAAAGAGATTTTCTTTTCTTATATTTAAACATGAATTTTTTTTAACATACAGAAAAGTTGAAATTGTAGACGTTACCATTAACATTTCACTCTACTTACTTTATCACATATCTATCAATTTATCCATTATGCTGCCCAATCAAAGAGTTGTAAGCAAAAGAGTTGTATGATGTGTAGAGAAGTGGTTGAAGGAATAAAGACTTGAGGTAAAGAAAACAAATGTTTTCTTTAGTTTACTGTCATAAACTAGGAATGAGATCATGGTGACTTGATATGTTTGAGACATATTGCAAAGATAAAATCATCAAGACTTGGCAAACCACTGAATGTAGTTTAGAGAGGGAAGAGTAGAAATGGTAGTTAGGAGCATAGACTCAAGAGCCAGAATTACTGAAATCAAATCCTAGTTCTGCCACTTACTAACTTCTACTTCTCTGTGCCTGTTTCTTCCTCTGTAAATTAGTTGTTGTCAGGATTACATGACTGTTGTTGTTGTTGTTATGTGCCGTGGAGTCGGTTCCGACTCATAGCGACCCTGTACAGGGTTTCTGAGGCTGTAAACCTTTACGGGAGCAGAAAGCCTATAAATAAATAAATACATATATAAATGTACACACACAAAGAGGCTTCCAAAAGTTCACAGAAAAATAAAATTAAAAGATAATGGCATTTTTCTACAACCTTTTGAAGCCCCCCCTTTGTGTGTGCATCTCCTGGCATATAGTAAGTACTAGATAAGCAGATAGAGTCCTGGTGTGGCACTGTAGGATAAGCACTTGACTGCAAGGTCCGTTTGAACCACAAGGTCAGTGATTCAAACCAATCAGCTGCTCCTCAGAAACCCCATACAGGGTCGCTATGGGTCAGAAATGATTTGACAGCACCTACCAACAAAAGCAAAACATATACAGATACTGCTATTGTTAATATTAGTGTTTAAAAGGTGACACTCTGATATTGGAAAGAACTTAGTTAAAATCCCAACTCTATTATTTAATAGCTATATAATATTGGGATAGTTTGTTTATTTGAAACTTTGAGCAAATAGTACTTCCTTCATAGGAGTTTTTTTATTATTAATTTAAATAAGAAACAAATACACATTCTTTATTTTTTAAATGATCACACATCCAAGATTATCTAAGGAAATGTTTTCCTTCAACAAGAACTTTTTCATGATAATTATTTCTAGACGGTTTAGTTGCTAGTCAATAGGAAATAATGAAGCTGTAGGAGATGAGATGATAGCACACTACGTCACAGTACTAAGATTCCAAATCTGAGTGCTTTTTTTCTCCGTAGGCTGCTGCCATTCAACACTTAGAATCTGCAACTACTGAGCTGAACAAAATCCTGAAGACCAAGTGCCCCACAGAGATGATCATTGCAACCAGGTCAGTCTTCTTTTGTCTCTCATTCTGTGAGTTTCTATTCCTCACAAGCTGTTCCCACGCCAGAGATGGGGTTCATTGTAATGGACTGGAGTTTGAGGTCAATAAATATATGCTTAAAAGCTTGTGAGTGGTCCTCTAAGATGCAACTATTGGTCTCTCCCCATCTGGAACAAAGAAGAGTGAAGAAAATTAAAGCTGTAAGGAAACAATTAATCCAAAGGACTAATAAACAACACTAACCCTAGTCTCCATGACCCTGAGATCAGAAGAACTAGATGATGCCCTGCTACCACAACTGATCACTCTGAAAGAACTCATAATAGGAAGTCCTGGATGAGATTGAGATGAGGACACCTGCTACTCCAAAAAGACAAAATTGCAAGCTAGATATTTGTAATGATTTCAAAAGGAAAGTGCAGCTTTCAAAACCATCTAGAACAACTCCCTACAGGAGGGATACCTTGTATTTTATCTTTGCCACTAGGAACGGTCTCTGTAGTAACTAACCACTGGATCACAGACTGAACAGCACATCCTTCCCCTCTAAGTGTATGTAGGTCATTCCTTTCTCCTGACACACTTTGTGGGATTCTTGCTCAGTTCACCATACTGTGTTATGAATGGCCCTAGGGGTGGTGTTTGCCATGTCATTATGTTTGTACTAAATTATTTGCACCCTTAAACCATAGCTGATTTGACCCAGGATTAAAACTTGACCCACGATGTTGGTGGTGGTTATGGTGGTATTACCATCAAGTCACTTCTGACTCATGATTTACAGAGTAGAACTGCTCCATACAATTTCAAGGCTGTGACCATTCAGAAGCACATCGCTAGGGTTGCCTTCAGAGGCACCTCTGAATGCATTTGAACCACCAACTTTTTGCCTAATAATTGAGTGTTTAAATGATTTGATTTGAGTCATGCAGAGACTCCCTTGAATTTTGAAATTAGAATTAAGAAAAGCTACTTAAACTGCTTGATGGAGGAATGATATGAAACAGTTGTAGCAGAGATGGAGCATATTTTACCATGTGCACATGAAGAAGCAGGAAAACCAGTGAGAGGGGGAGAGTGTGTTGCTGTTGGTGTAGGTGCTGTTGAGTCAGTTCCAATCACATGCACATCTATGCACAATAGAAAGAAACACTGCCCAATTCCACACCATTGTCACATTTGTTACACTTGAACCCATTGCTGCTGCCATTGTGCCAATTCATCTCATTGGGGGGTCTTTCTCTTTTGTGCTGACCCTCACTTTACCGAGCATGACATCCTTCTCCAGGTACTGATAACATGTCAGAAGTATAAGAGAGGAAATCTCACCATGCTGGATTCTAAAGAGCACTCTGTTGATACTTCTTCAAACACAGACCTGCTTGTTTTTCTGGCAGTCAAGGGTACCTTCAATATTCTTCTCCAATGCCACAAGTCAAATGAATCACTTCTTCTGTGGTCCAAATGCATATAAAGCTATTAAAAATACCATAGCTTGGGTCAGGTGTACCTTAGTCATCAAACATATCTTTGCTCTTGAACACTTTAAAGAGGCCTTGTGCAGCCTAATGCAATATATTGTTTGATTTCTTGACTGCTGCGTCCATGAGTGTTGATGGTTGATGTGAGCAAAATGAAGTCTTTGACAACCTCTATCTTTTCTCCATTTATAATGAGGCTATTTTATTGGTCTATTTTCAAGGATTTTTTTCCTTCTTTTTCTTGACATTGAAGTGTTGAAGGCTGTGGTCTTTGATCTTCACCAGTATTTTAAGTCCTCTTCACTTTCAGCGTGCAAGTTTGTATCATCATTGCAGGTTGTTAATGTTGAAATTTTCCTTGCATGTAATATTAATGATAGTGTTAGATGAGTTCTGCATTCTGTTGGGCCATCTCTCTCTGGAACAGGAACAAATATGGATCTCTTCCAATTTCTTGGCATAGATGAGTGAGTGTATCAGATGCTGAATCCGTTTGCTGAAAGATTTCAGTTTATAGTCCATTAATTTAGGAAAGAACGATAGTGAAAAGGAAGAGGAAGAAGTAGATGGACATGAGATGAAGGGCTCTGGACCTCAAGATACATATTTCATCATGCCATCTACTTTATCTTTCCAGATTCTTATGCTCAGCAGTGGAAGATTTTGTGGTTGATTGTGTGAAGGCCTGGAGTCAGATAAGACAGAACAATACAGCAATAGAGTCTGTGATATTGAAAGTAAGTTTCTATTCTTTTTGTCTGTATTCTTTTTTGAGCCAGAGCCACCTTTCTAGTAGAATCAAATATGCCCCTCATGAGAATTATTCTTAAAGAGGCAAAGAGGAGCAGTGATGGGGAAAGCCCAACCTCATCAAAATCACATCTTTCTCCAAATGAAGAGTGGCATTATGCAGGCATCACATGTGCAATGTACCTAAACAGAAACCAAGCATCTGCCTACAAATAAACACAAGTGTACACCAGGCATGCATGCACATGATTATGCTTGAATATGCTTGAAAATATGTACATATAAGAACAGACTATACATGTACCCACATTTACCTAAATATGAGATTAAGTCAAACAGTATTACTACTAGGGTTCCATTTCATATATGCATGGGTTTATTACAAACAAAACATGTTTAAATATGTTTCTGTAATCAGCGGCTAGCTGCAGATAAGTTCTCTCAGTAATCCATTTGTCTTAGTGTCATCCAGATGCCTTCCAAAAAAATGTATAATCAGAACAGTGGCTTCCAAGGGAATCTGCTGGGCCACTTAAATTCAAGGTAGGGACTGTTATTTGGGATTCCACACTGGTAATCTTGTTAGATTTTCTTGAATAATACAGGATAACCATAGGAGCTTATTATGAAGAAACTTTAAGAAAATTGAAAACTGCATTTGTAAGAAAAAAGAAAAGGAAAGTTGACCTGAGATTCTCCCCCCCCCCCCATTATAACAAAGCATCTGTTCATTCTACGAGGGTATCAAGGGCTTTCCTGTGAGAATTTCATTTGTAAGCCTTACACCATCTACCCTATTGTCCTGGTCTTACTTCTTCAGACTTCTTTTTGTTCCCAAATCTAAAAGAACATTAAAAAGGAACATGATTTGAATCCAGGTTGTCAAAACTGCCATTTTGATGCAGTAAATTGAAGAGTACAGAATCCTTCAGGGAAGGTTTAAAGAGTTGGAAACACCACCTTCAGAAGTGTATAGACTTAGATGAAGGATATGTTAAAAAACAATAGCTTCACATTTTGATATTTTTGTTTAATAAAAGTTTCTATAATTTTGTAGCAATGCTTTTTGAGTTACTTTTGTATGTAGGATGGGGGCTTCAAAAAGTCCGTGGAAAAAATCCATTTTTTCATGAACTTTTTGAAGTCCCCTATTACTATGTGCCATGGACTGTTATAATATTAATTTAATATTAATCTTCACTACTGCCATAAGAAATAAAACATGAACAGGTTAAGTAACTTGACTCAGGACACAAACTATTAAGTGGTAAAGCTGAGAATCAAAGCCATGCAACCTAAACATAAACACCTATAAAGGCAGACATTAAGCCTCCACACAGAGGTGCATATCACACATAGGAGCATGCCCATAAAAACACTGAACCAGAAATATTTTTCTTTCCTCTAGTTTGCCATGTTGCACATCATTTTACCAGCCAGTTTAACATGAAAAGACCCAGAAACATACATTGATAGCTGAGGTGCTAAGAAACAAATGATGCATTTAATCTCTGCACACATTTTAGTTACCTTGCCACATTTACCTCTTTCCCCAAACATTCATCCCACTATATCTGGCTTTCTATGCTCAGTCCTTCCTGGCTAGCTAACCCTTACCCCATGCTGCCTACAACTCTGCATTCTGTATTCATAACATGTACTGTCTCTTTCTCCATATATAGTATAAGTACTATACAAGCACAAATTCCTCATAAATGTCCTGTATCCTTTCTCCCTATGTAGAGTGACTTAATGTATGATAAGCTAAGTGACTTGGTTGATGTCCTGGCTGAGGAGGAAGCAGCTACCCCTGTTGAGAAAATTGTAACAGTACACCCAGAAAGTGGCAAAGCAGATGCAAAGCCCTTGATCCCTCAACTAGATCACATATCCAGATGCAAGTTGGAGTTGACCACAAAGGCCCAGAATCTCCAGAAATCCTTGAAACTCCTCATATTTCAAGTTGAACAAGGTAAGGTGCTCAAGACTGTGGTGACAGACAGGAGAAAGGGAGAGTTGCAATGTCTCTCATTATTGATTTGCTATCTGACTCCACTACCAAAACTTGAGTAGCTTCTGCATTTATCTAACACCCAGAGTCAGGCTTCAGACTCGGATTTGAAAATTCTCAGTCCTGATAAAATTGTTGTTTTGCTCCACCAATTTCTCAGGCACTCAAATCTTTCTACACATTTATTTTTTGAATTAACACTCAACCTAAGCAATTATACCAGATAGTCTGGCTCAAATAACTGTCAGTCTCCACCACCAGCCATTATTTTTTTTGTTGGTGTTCTACCTGCTTGTGTTTTTTTTCCAACTACAAAACCTGTGACTGTTAGAAAAAAAATGGTGTTCATCTCTTCATGTCTTACACAGTATCAGCCAGGCTTAAGGACCCTGGCAGCTATGCCATTGATTACTGTTGCCAACACCTGATGACAATCTGCAAACTCCAACTTAGTATGGAACCCCGCAAATTTCATCATTTAAATTTTTGGTTACTGCTTCTTCATCCTGGTGTGGCACTGTGGGATCAGCATTGACGGTGAACCACATGGCCAGTAGTTGAAATGCACCAGTTGCTCCTGGGAAACCCTATAGAGGGTCACTATGAATCAAAATGGACTCAATGGCACTTAACAACAACAACGTGTTCACACTGCTTCCTTGAAAGCAGATCATAAGTCTGTTCTACCTGAGCTATTAGAATTGAGCAGAAGTCCCAGGCAGCAATGTAGTCCTGTTAAGTGCCTTTTTATTTTAATCACAGCACCTCCCCCTGCCTTGGCACATGTTATGAATTGAATTGTGTCCTAAAAACATATATGTGTTCTAAATCTTATACCTTATACCTATGGGCTTTCCTGTGAGAAAAGCCCATAGGTATAAAAAGCCCACCTCACTGGTGGCACAGTGAGCTAACCATTAGGCTGCTAACTGCAAAGTCAGCAGTTCAAATCCACAGGAGTGGGACCCGTATGGAGCAGTTCTACTCTGTCCAATCGGGCCACTAAGAGTTTGAATTGACTTAATGGCAATGGGTTTTGGTCCTGGTGTGGCACTGTGGGTTAATGTGCTGAACTGCAAAGTCAGTTTGAGCTACAAGGTCAGTGGTCCAAGCTCACCAGTTGCTCCTTGGAAACCCTATACAGGGTAGCTATGGGTTGGAACCCACTCAAAAGCACTTAACAACAACAAGAAGGTTATAATCCCATTTTGGAAACTAGATTCCTTTGTTATGATAATGAGGCAGTCCTAGTGTAGAATGTGTCTTAAGTCAATCTCTTTTGAGATATAGAAAAAGTAAATTTAGGGACTGGATCCAAGATGTAGGCTTTTGCAGACCTTCTACAACAAACATATGAGAAACCAAGTGAATCAGGTAAAAATAGCGATCCGGGAACCCTGAACTTCAAAGGAAAGCATAGAGAAGTAGATCAAATATTGATTAGAAGAAGAAACTGAACAAAAACAGCAAACATGGAGACATATAAAGAGGTGAATTGGTAACTGACTTGACAGAGCTTGGCTTTTTAAAATTACTACAAGCAGTCTTCCAATTGTGGCAGGAACCAAGTAATTGGCTGTTTGCCTAGGACTGCAATGCACCCACAACAATGATTCATCCCATTATACTCTACACCCTCCCAGCAACCAGAAAAATGGCCACCTCTCACCCCCACCCACCCAGCAGCTAATAATGCTCCCCCCCCTCAACTGCCCATGCCCTGCCTGGTAGTGTGCCTGACCACTTTTCTCCCCACAACCTCCGAAGTCACTTTCATTCAGAAGTCAATTTCATGCCTGAGGCACATCTCTCTGAACAAGTGAAGTGTATCCACTGATCCTGTGGTCGGAGATGTGCTCCCTCATGAGTCAGGCACTACATACATGCCTGAGAGCCCCATGCTTGGAGGCACTACTCCCATGCAGCAGGCCACCTCCACATACAGTGGCATGTTTGGGTCACACACCATGAGCAATGGCACACACTCCCATAGACCAGGTGCCACAATCCCATGATCCCATGGTGGTGCATATAACCACAGACCAGAGACCATGAGTCCATAGCCCTTGTAGCAGGTAGTACATGCCACCAAGAACCGGGCACTGTGACCTCACCACTGTCTTTTCCCTCTTTTATTAGTTTCTCACTCTTTTCTCTTTTTTCTTTCTATTGTTTTGTTTTCTATTTCATCTGGTGGAAGGTAATAACAATTTCCACACTATGTAGCCATGACCATCTCTTCTGCCACCTCACCTACTGGATAAGTGCAACCACCAGCTCCTACACCACTTGATGGACAGTGACTAATGCCAGTCAAACATGCTCTCAACTTCTCTACATGAACATCAAACAGAGACCTGCACACACATTCCCATCTACTATTACAGCCACCCATCACCTAAGTGCTACCAAACTAGCAAGCAAAATCATACACTTGCCCTGCACACCTGGATATATTAAAACAAAAATCCTGGGTGAAACACAACAACAAACAATCATCAAATAAATATAATAACACCACAATATCTCAGACAATTAATACGGAAGACCATAGAAGAATTGATGCATTTGAGTTATGGTGTTGGAGAAGTACCACGGACTACCAGAAGATCAAACAAAGCTTTGTTGGAAGAAGTACTACCAGAATGCTCCTTGGAAGACAGGATGGTGAGACTTCATCTCTGAATCTTCAGACATACTATCAGGAGGGACCAGTCCCTGGAGAAGAACATCATGCCTGGTAAAGTAGAGGGTCAGTGAAACACAGGAAGACCCCCAATGAGAAGGAGTGGCACAGTGGCAGAAACCATGGACTCCATCTTAACAACTGTGAGAATTTGCACAGGACCAGGCAGTGTTTCTTCCTGCTGTGCTTAGGATCACTATGTGTCAGAACAGACTCAATAGCACCTAGCAACAGCAACAACATCTCAGAGACAAAAGACAACTGTAGAAGTCCAGCTCTCTCAGGATCGCAGGAGATGAGAGGAGACGCAGAGTCAACAAAAATGAAAGCAATCAAAGAGTCTCCGCTTAGTTGGCTGATGGAGCTCTCTCTGTGTTTTTTTCTCTTCTCTCTGCCCCAGCTTACCAAGTCTTTATTTTTATACTTAAAATTACACAGTACATAATGATTTGATACTTTGATTTTCCCTTGAATTATTACACAGTTTTAATCACAACATTCCTTTTACCCTGTGATTATACAACCTTAACAAAAGTATTTCTGTGATGTCCAAACTGACCTTTCCATATCCTGTTCATTTTTCAACCATTGAACATTTTCCTTTTGACATCATCTCCTCTCCTATGTAAGTGGTAAATTGCTTCTTCTTATTCCCACTAAAAGATCAAGTTAAACCTTACACAAATCATTTCCACTTATCAGACCCCTGATTACATCTTCTTAGTAATATAAGTTTCTATTAATCATCAATGCTTACACTACTTTATTGTTTCTACTAGGTGATTATCAATCTTCTATCCTACATACTACACTACTATTTTCATAGTAAAAGTATTACTAACATCTACTTAATTATTTTGTTTTTCTAAAGTATTCACTAAATTGCTTAACCACAATGTTCCTATGTTTCTTTCTTTTGAAGCTGTGAGGCATAAGGCCCAACCTGGCTAATTGCGGCAGGAAATGTAGATTATTAAGTTTAGACCATTTTTCACTTATGTTCACTATTCTCTGCCTATTTACGTAGGTGCCTGTATGTAATAGTGGGGGGTTGTGGATTCCGGCTGATAATTGATTGTGGCGAGGTCTATAGGGGTCGGTCAGCTTTACTTTAGTTTGTTATCTGCTTTTGTGATCTCATAAATGCAGTTACTTTGTACTTAGGTTTTTTGTGAATGGGAGTGGCTCATACAATTCCCTTTGAATTCAAACCACTGAAGTTGAAATAATTGTTGCTAGACCGTTTTTTTCCCTAAGGTTTGCAGAGCTCATAGCAAAAGCTGTGAATATGGCAATATTATATATTTATACAAGTGAATTCAGAGTTATCCTAGAGAGAAGATAGAAGCCAGCTTCTGAGAATTATCTGCTTTGCATGATGTTTCTCCTTCTGCTGGGACTGTGTTAAACAGCAGAAACCAAGCCACTTCCCGCAGACAACTTCATTTTATACAAAGAAACAAGATGAAGTGTCTCAAATAAGTGACCAAAATGCAGAAGAAATTATATTACAACTACCTGATAAGGAATTTAAAAAATTTATATTTTAGTATCCTTCCACAAATTAAGAAAGAGATCAAGGAAAACAATATAAAAGCAAATTGAAAAAATAATAAACCATACAAAACTCAGCAAATAGAAACCCAGAAGAGTAACACTGAATTTTCAGAAACAGATAATGCATTGGAAGGGCAAAGGAATAGAATTGAATTAACATAAGAAAGAATTAGATAGACTGAAGACAAATATCTCAATACTAATAATGTGTTAGAAGAACAATCAGAAAACAAAATGATAAAAAAGAAAATATGAAGAAAATCTAATAATTATGTTGTTGTTGTTATTAAGTGCCATTGAGTTGGTTCTGACCCATAGCTACCCTGGATAGGGTTTCTGAGGAGCAGCTTGCAGTTCAAATAGTTTTGCAGTCTGGCGCATTAACCCACAGTGCCAATAATTATGTGGGACACCATAAAAAGGAATAACTTAGGAGTGATTGGAATCCCAGAACAGGAAGACACACACACACACCAAGAAAAAACACACAAAACAAACAAAAACAAAACACACACACACAGAAAATTGTCAAAGATGTGTTGGAAGGGTGTCTGATGGTAGACTAGGCAAAAAAAGGCTGTGTAAACCCTCATCAGCAAAAACGGAAAACCAGGTGAAACAGATTTAGAGATGGTCTTGGAAATCTGACCTTCAGATAAAGGGATAAACAAGTGGATTGAGTGCTTACTGAGAGAAAGAATGTGAACAGAAGGCCAAC